CCTGAATCACATACTGTTGATTCTTTTGGTGAATATGATTCTTTTGTTGAGTCACCAGTTTCAACCACTCAGGTTTCTCATAATATGGGATATGATCGTAGGAGTGTGAACAGGAAGCTCTGGAGTTACGAAAATGAAGTGGATGTATCTCTCAGGGATGGTTTGTTCTCTGAGGTAACTGGGGGTATTCCTATCTATGACTCACGTTCTGAGCATCATGAACTTACTGGTAATGGAGAAGAAAACACAGATGAATTTTCAGGGTTCTTGCAGAGAAGTCCTAGAAATGGACCTCTGAGAAGTACCACTCCCAGTCCTCAGGTAAAGTTGTACTCACCTTTTGTCTTTTTTTTCTCTGGCCAGTATTTTCTCTTGAAATTTCTTATTTGGATATACTCCTTAAGCATGGATATGGGATTTTATGCAAATGGGTGTAGCTTCTACTGTCTGCATTCTAGACATAATTGGTTTTTACTTTTGTGTGTATTTGGTTTAACTCTTGATAATTGCATCCAGTACTTAACTGGAGTTTCTAAAAAGTCCAGTTTGCCAATTTTAGGATGGCATCACAGGCAGATAAATTTGTCCTCCCAAATTGCTTCTCAAATTTATTTCGTTATATTGTGCCAACTAGTTCTACAAATGTAATGTACTGCAATACAATTTCCTTTTTCTGGTATTGATCTGGTTGCTCATCATATATTTCAGAGGTCACGATGTCACATCAACGTTGATGACATTGACATCTTCACTACTCCAAGGAAGCTAATTCACTCACTTCACGTTGATGACATTAACATCTTCACTACTCTAAGAAAGCTAATTCACTCACTTCAGGACCCTAATATTGTTAAGTCAGACTTCTCTGAAAAACAAACAAGGAGGTTCAGAAGTCCATCCTCTGGAAGATTCCAATCCTGCCCATCCCCAAGGCAAAATGGTTTTCAACATGACCTGATGCATGAGGTTAACGGGAAGGAAAGTTTATGTAATAATGGTGAGCAATATGAAGGTGTCTCTGAATCTGTATCATCAACAGATAGTCCTGCTGATGGTAATTTGCAAGAGTCTCTTGAGGTAGTTCCCGTTATTAAAACTGAAATTCTGGAATCTAGCAACAAAAATCAGCCGTCAGAATAAAAGTTCTAAAATGCGTTTGGTGCTCTTTTCCATTCTACTTGTAGTTCTCATGGCACTAATATGTAGTGATGGTTGGGATGAAAGAGATTATCTTGTTCTAACAAGAAACTTATTTTGTTAGTTTGTTCATGGAATTAATATAAGTTTTTCTCTTTTTGTACATTAAATAATGGGATATATATTAGAGGATAACTCTCTTCTTTTCAAATCCCTTTTTATCCGTTCTAAGATTTAAATTAAATATCTCTAATATAAAAATTTAAACTCTTAACCATTCAGATGTTTCTTAAAAAATGTTAATAGAAGTAACAGAAAAATTCTTTTCACTAATGATATATTACAAAACAATATTGATTTTCTAACTTCTTCCCCAGAGAAATTGAAAGAAGGGAAAAACAAAAGGATTATCTATGATGTTGTATTACATAATCACTAGTTATCATGCTGAATCACTTGTACAGCTCTCCAACTCTCACCCACCACGGGCAAGGCACCAGCATTGAAGCAGGGTCAGTGCAAATGAAATAGTCCTTTCCATACTTATATTATATCACGTACTAATAAAATATTATGACATTATCAAAAAAAAGGGATATCCTGAATTTTTTTTTTTTTTTGGGTAAAAAAACAAATCGCCGACAGCCACTTCGTTGCCTCTGCCCACCTGAGATCTAGACGATGCGCCATTCCCGATCAAACCAGGTAGTAAATCGGTGCAATCCATGGTCCGATCGAGACCTATGGAGCCCTTTCGAGTTCTCTGGTGTGGTCTGAAGCTTGGGCCATTCTGCAAAATTCTACACATCTGTAAAATTTTTCTTGACATCTTTGAATTATAAAACAATCTAACTTTCTTCAAGGTTTTGAATCTTTTATTTATTTATTTATTTTGAACTCGACCTGATTGCATGCTTGTTTTAAAACTTGATTATAAGCCATACTTAAAATTTTCTTCCAAAAAATCTAGAAATTTACAAGACAGCAAATGGCTTTTAAGGAAGTTAATTACTTAAAAGCTCTGCAAAACCATGCTCTAAATGATCTCTGTTATGTTTGCTGATGTCTTTAAATTTAAATATACAAAACTTTTAATTATATAATTATTGAACTTAGATGGAAAATGAATTAGCAATAAAAATGGAATTTGCAAAGAAGAATTTGACTTCGAAATCTGGAAAGAATATACATCGATCCACCAAGTATTTATTCCAAGCAGAAAATATATAGACTAGAGTCGTTTAATTTCTCCACATAGCTCAAAAATTAAAAAATTCACGTAAATTATCCATGACTTTCCGTTTCTGCTTCTTAAGATAGCTGATCAGTCGGTCCTTCATAACGATCACTACGTCTACCACAAATGAAAGGATGGGAATATTATCGCCAAGCAATTCGACCAACTGTGTTGTTGCGGTTTTTCTATCAAAGATGTATGGCCTAAGAGTTAAAGCAGTAATCTCAACAAGAAGAGGAAACTGCAACAACACAAAGCACATGATAGGAATACCAGCAAGCACAGTTATTGGAATGAATTCCTTCCGTTGATCTCGTAGCATCACGTAAAGAGTAGCACAAAATGCTACTGTCAATGTTGCAATAGAGATGAAGAGTGAAATAAGACCAAAAATCAACTTCGTGGGCAAGGATATAAGAAAATCTTCATAAGCGTAACTTGAAGTGAGAATCCCCAAAAACATTAACACTGAACCAGATGCAGTAAAAAGGGAAATTGCATCTGATGCTATGAATACCTTAAACGGTGTAACCGTAAACGACTGTGCCAGCGCCGTCTTGTTCAAAAATATGGGGAAGCCTGTATTTTGATCGTTCCCACCTGGAACAGTAAAAGCCGCAGCAAACATAATAGTGATAATAAGAGCAGCTACGACTGTAGAAGATTCTGCAGTTCTCTTCATCCATTCTACAGCTTCTTTTAACAAGTTCTTGTGTTCTTTAACAAACACTTGGTAAGGAGTTTCACCATCTTTATTTTTCTGTTCGTTGTAGAACCCTGGAACAATTGCCTCCACCGACTGCATTCATTGAGTGAGAAAATAATAATAAATCAAAATTTATGAAATCAGATTATCTAAGATAAAATGTGATATAAATTTTTTATCTTATAAAAAATGAAAAAATCAATATGATTAGTTATCTCAATTGAATTAATTTTTTCAATTTTTGAAGAATCATATGTTATTTTTATTAAAATAATTTGATAATCGCATAGTATACAAAATAAGAAATTACGAGTTAATTAGAAAAAAAAAAAAAAAAGAGGGATGAAAACTAAACAATGATTACCTTGAACCAGCGTAATTCACTTTGCAACTGCAAAGCTGCACCAGAGACGCGATCTAGTTCAAAATGAGGACCCAACTTTGCTGCTAGATGTAAGTTATTGTTTCCATCTGGATCAGTGCCATAAAATTGATCTACCATATTTCCACAAAGAAATTTTGCCACTTTCTCTTGACGATGTGCTATAGCACATGCAAAAATGGTTCTTGAATCTTCAGGATCAGTGCTGGTCCACGCCATATCTTTTTGAGTTTTTGCAATTCCAATCGCAATCTCTGGGTTTCCATTCCTAATAGCCTGAAAGATAGCTTCGACTGCTCTATTTTGCAAAAATTGCTCGCGCAAGTTCTCACATAAGAAACTTAAAACCTTATCAGCATACACATCTGTGGACTTTAGATCATATGTTTGTTTTGCTGATAAAAAAAATAAAAATAAACATATATTTGCTTTATTCTACAGATAAGAATAAAGAGCACAAAAATAACGGAAAAGAAAAAAATAATGTTGTATTTGGTTAGTGGTAGTAGTTATTTCTTAATCAAACACTAAAAATGAGCTAACTTTAAGAGTTTTTGGAGAAATCAGGAATAGTTAAATCTTAAATTTTTATAACTTTCTACTAAATTATAGATGAAATATTTTAACTTATGCCTTAATTAAGGCACGTGTTAAAAGTAACATTTGTTGCACTTTTTCTTTATTAATTTATATAAAAAAAAATAAAAATTAACTTTAATTTTATCAAACATCTAATTAAAATGTTTCACATGCCATTTGTGTTCAATATAAAATTTACTTTAAATTAATGTTGAAAAAGTACAATAATAGTAAATGCATCTTAACTTGTGTGCCTTTATGGCACAAGTTAAAAAATTCATTAACAATAAAGACACTAACTGATACAATTTCTTATTCAACACATTGTATAAACTCTCATTAAAAAATTATTATTTCTTATGGCACAACATGTAAACACTAACTGAATCAGTTATACTTATATTATATTTTGATAACTAAACTAGATGAATGTCGAAAAATATGTCGAAAAATATGTCAAATCGGAGTGTGTATTAATTATTTTCTTAAAGATAAATAAGAAAAGAAGTGTTTTACAAATCGTCGTCTCAGTTTTTTTTTTTTTGAGAATATGCCTAAAACCTCATTTTCTAATTAATATTTTGAAAAATTAATAGTTGGATTGAAATTTTTATTCATATAAATTATATATGTCAATTTTTAGATTGTTTTAGTAGATCTAACCACTTTATTGATTACACAAAATTTAACACTGTTAAATTAATGTTAATAAATAAAGTTTCTTTAATTAAAATGTTATAAGTGTTATATTAATATGAAAAGTGACATGCATAATTTACA